CCTAAAACACAACTTCCGCTAATCGTGTTTTTCATTTCATTTGTCGGTTGATTCCGGGAAGAATTTTTGAATTCACTCATTGTTTTGAAATCGCAAGGTCTGACGAAACGAAACCGAATTTTATTTGTCTCGCGAAATATAAAATATTACCATGGCTTTCTGAAGTCTCCGATTTGTTAATTAATTATTACTTGCTCTGTTTATTACATTGAGCTCTTGGAATTTATAGGTGCCAGTAACTTGAGCCGGTAACTTGAGCCGGCCCTGACCACCAGTTCAAACCTTTAGCACTAGCACACGCCATGCCACGTTTACAGAGTCGAATCGTCTTCATTTCTTCCATATTCAAAATGTAGAAGATTCACTCAGATTGCTTTTTTTCCCAAAGAAAATACATTATGTGGAAAAGACTCACGCGGTAATAATTCCTTGTGCATCTTCTTCAAGTTAAGGGTCAATCTTAGAATACAAACGTTGTTTATAATGCGTATATATGCATTTTTCAAGGTGATATTTTACTATGTATTCGTTTCTAGTTTTCAATTTTTAAGTAACGTAGTAAAAATTTGTTTTCGCGTTTACATTTTGAGATGAGTTCTGATCGTTTATTTACTAATTTGTGTTGCTCAGGGAAGGTAATTATAGTTATTTTCTCCTCCAGAGTTTAAGTTTTGGGATTTATTGTTGCCGGCTGATGTTGTTTTCCTTATTTTCCATGATATTTTTTATGTATTTTTGTTTTTAATTTCCCATCTGTATTTACAAAGTGTTGTGCTATTCGCATATTTACTATTTGTAAAGGGTATTCTGTGTGCGTAGTTTCTTTGTTTCCAGGGTCTTCTTTCATTTTTTCCTATACATCTTTTTTCTTCGTTATATGTTGATTATACAATGGCTTTGTATATCATATTATTTTGCAAACAATTACCATTTAAGGGCAATCACCGCTCAATGTTTACTCGGTGTCCACTTATATATATATATATATATATATATATATATATATATATATATATATATATGTGTGTGTGTGTGTGTGTGTGTGTGTGTGTGTGTGTGTGTAAATATTCTCAGACGGAGTATATCTCTAGAAGAGACAAAATGAATAGAAAGATAAAAGGAAAACTATACTTAGATTAGTCGACGCGTTTCGTCATTCGACGGAATTTATCAAGGTAAATGTGATGGTTTTATTTTGCAGCAAGTATATATTTGACATTTACTCAAAAAGTAAGAACGGTCTTAAATATTCAGGAAATTAACTGAAAACATTTAGGTGTTAGATCCTAGATTACGTTATGTAGCGTCTTTAAAAGGAAATATTTAAAGCCACACAATAACAGGTTAACTAAAAATTCTAGACATTTACACCTTAGAATACGACATTTAGTATACTCGAAAAAGAAAAAAAAAGAAAAGAAAAAGGAAAAAAGTTTCTGGGATTAAAATGTGAGATTGACGTTTGTATTATACATCTCCAAAAGTTGAAATGATGGATTCATCCATTTTTTTTAAATTTTAACGCATCGTTGTGTACGTTGGTCTGGGAAAGTAGTAATTCCTTCAGGAAAGGTGAGATGGGGGAAAAAAACAGGGCCTAGATTGAAATTTTGATAATGTTCAATGGCGGCACTCTTGAGGATTTTCCTTCTGAGTATTTCTTTCTCTTTGATGAGAGTGGCATTTTTTAGATCAAAATTGTGGTCGAATTGATTTCTGTGTATGACTAATGCCTTTGTTAAATTATTATTGATATAATCTCTTGTGTTCATAGACACGTTTATTTAAATTTCTACTTGTTTCCCCAATGTATTTTGAAAAACAGTCTAAGCAATTTATTTTATATAGGCCTCTCCCCGAACAATGATGATCATCTTTCTGCTTTGCCGTTTTATTATACACTTTCAGGAATTACTAAATTTTGGGGGCACTTCCCATTTTGATTCCAGTGCAACCCAACCTATATGCCAAACCAAAGCAAGCCATTTTGTTTTGAATTATTTTATACATACACTGATTAGTGCTTTTACAAAGACAGAATATGCACGTAGAAGATTCTTGGAGACAAAATCTGTTTATGACAATGGAATTTAAATTAAACCAGAAATAAATATTGAAAACGTTTTCCTGATAGATACTAAGAAGAATATTCCAACAGTAGCTATGACATTTGAATTCATTCTTTATGTTACGTTGTCATGACAACGTTTCGACCGCTACATTCTAAAGGCTTCTTCAAGAATTTCTCTAAAGTCTAAATAATCATTTTGATTCGCTTTTACTTCTATGTGTCATTTTTACAGCTACCAATCGTAAAATCCTGTTAATTGCCTTAAATGCCATATTGGTCTCTACAGATTGCCATTACTGTTTAGGTAAGATTTCATCTTGTCGTCGCCGTGGATATAAGGATTTTCTTTCTTTGAAACTGGTTCCCACTCAAGGCTAGAGAATAGCGTCTACCATGCTATTTAACACCTAGCTGAAAAGAGAAGGGATGAATTCACGCCTATATCAGGGGTATTTGTTTGAAAGTAAACGCTATACTGGCATTTGAACCTAGATCGCTGATTCTAATGTCTGCGATGATATCAATTACCCTACACAACTGAATTATGACGCCTTTTGGGGAAGGATAGTGGAGTGGTTCTCTGTTGTGTTTGGAATTCAGAATTTTCCTTCTTTTAGACTGGTTGCCATCCAAGGCTAGTAAGTCCTGTCTACACCTGTTTTTAAAGTTGGAGTGGGAAGAGAAGGACATTGGAAATCCGGTATTAATTGTAAAAATAAAAAAAAATGGTATTAATTCTTCTTTATGTGCCGTGTCATCTCAGGACGTAGACGATCATGGCTCTTCTCAACTTCCTATCCTTTGTCTTTCTGTCATAAACCCTGTTTGGTCATTCATTTACTCATGCCATTGAATATATTATGCGTCGTTTTTCTCTGTCTCTTTTGCCTTCAGTATTTCCTGTGAGTATCAGATTTTCCAAATGTCAATTCAGGTTCGATTTCATTGCAGATCCTTCTTTGAATTTTGTCAAGAATCTCGAGATGTACATCAGGAGCACCAGACCAGATATGGTAACAGTATGCAATGCATAGACGAATAGTAGATTTGTAAATGTGAAAGATATATTTTCATCTTATATCAAGAACATAGTATTTTTTGCTTTGTGCTGTAGAAGAAAGCTGGAACAAGGACTAACAATCAACTGAAAGAGTGATTGATTGATTTTTACGGTTTATCAACCTTTTCCATCCTATTTAAAACCGGAAATATTTTTGGGCTGTAAGAATTTTTTGAGAGATAATAATCATTTATTGATACAAGTCCTATTATTTAACCCATAGCTGGGGGAGAAGAGGCGGGTTCATACCTTTCACAAAGGCACTTAAGTGAATATAACGGACCCGACTGGAATTGGGAGTCTGAGAGACTAGTTGCAATTCTGCGTTAACGAGTGATTGACCATTTTTGCTGAATAGTGATCCTTAATTCGTGTCTTATACAGAATTTGCTGTTAAATAACTTAATAGGCTAATCTTTAAATGTTGGATTTGTACAAATATTCGTTAAACTGTGGATAGTCTTCAAAGAAAATATCAGGCAACATTTTGCCCAGAAATTGGAATTGCGACCGCCTGCACATATGTGTAAGTATGTTCGTAGAAGAAAGAGAATACACCAGAACTAGAAAAAAAAATATATATATATATAGATATATATTTTAATATTTTTATGAACATGTATCGTCAGGTAACTGTAAAGATTTACGACACTAAATGCAAAATAGTAAATATCCTTCCTACACACACATACATGAATATATTTGATTATATATATATATATATATATATATATATATATATATATATATGATATATATATATATATATTTATATATACAATATATACAATCGCAAATATATTTTAGTCAAATGCCTAGATTCATGAAACTTTGAATTATCCAGAGATGCTTAAAGAGAGAGAAAAAATACATACACACATTTACCTATATCGATATCTATATAAATACGAACATATATATATACCTATATTTATGTTCTTGTGAGAATGTTTACTCATTAACAGAAAATAAAAATATCCTTATGTTTTTTCCCCCGTTAAATTCATAATTTTTGTCGTTGAATGAAGCAAGACATGATTTACGAGGTGACATATTTCCCCCCCGATATATTTTCGTAAGTATCATGGCAATAAAAATGATGATGATCATTATTATTTTGAAAAAAAAATAAATTTTTAACAATAATAACAACAACTACTACCTTGGAGACACATCGTTAGGACTGGTAATTTTTAGACAGTTGTGTTGAGATGGTGTGAATGCTTTCGTGTGTGCAGGCCTAGGTGTATGCATATCTTTAAGAAGCGGACAGAAAAAAAATAGAAGCATTTCTCTTAATGATGAACAGTCTATTCTCTTTCTCAGCGATTTCTTTTGTGATTTCCCTCGAGAGTGGCACCTGCAGTATCAAATTTCGAAAATTTCTGAGCAGTTCCACCGTAGGCAACGTTTTCCACACGCTTATATGACGTGCCACCATTACTGGCCGCCATCTTCCCCCGCCTGCCGCCTGTTTCGTAATGATTACAGTGGAGCCAAATGGAAGCTGGAAGCTGTTGTTGTTCTGTTTTCATAGCGTTAATTCTTCGCTACTCAGCGACAAAGACAAGATGGTTGGGGTAGGTGTATACATATATGTATGTTTCTCTGTATATGCAAGCGTGTGTATACACTTTTGTATATATGTACACAACCAAATTGATACATTTTCATGCTGCTGCAAGCAAAAAGAAGTCCTTCGATTTCGACGAATGAGTGAATAAGTGACGGCCGAATGATTAAGCAGAGGGTGATTGAAAAAGAATAATATTCAATCAATGAATTCAAATGAATGAGTGAGGTGGAGTGAAGGAATGAAAAAAAAAAAAGAGAAAAAGTGAGTAAAGAAAGTAAGAGTGATTAAATGCTTTAATTTTTCATGAAAAAAAGGGGTGGAACGGGGGAGAAAGAAAGAAAGAAAGAAAGAAAGAAAGGAAGGAAGGAAGGAATGATGGACAGAACGAAGGAAACAGGTGTTGCAAAAAGAAGGAAAGAAGAAATGAAAGTAAGAATGGGAGTGAGTGATGTAGAAAGAAAGAAAGAAAGAAAGAAAGAAAGAAAGAATGAATGAAAGGAAGGATGAAGGAGCAAAGGAAGGTATGAAGGAAGGAATGAAGTATGCGTTGTAAAAAGAAGGAAAGAGGAATGAAAGTAAGAATGGGAGTGGGTGATGTAGAAAGAAAGAAAGAATGAAAGGAAAGGAATGAATGAATGAATGAATGAATGAAGGAAGGAAGGAAGGAAGAAAGAAAGAAAGGAAGGAAGGAAGGCTTGGAATAAAGGAAAGAGGAATGAAAGTAAGATCGGCAGTGGGTTATGTAAGAAAGAAAGAAAGAAAGAAAGAAAGAAAGAAAGAAAGAAAGAAAAAGAAAGAAGGAAAGGAATCAGGTGTTGCAAAGAGAAGGAAAGAGGGATCGAAAGTACGATTGGAAGTGGGTGATGTAGAAAGAAAGAAAAGAAAAGAAAGAAAAAAGAAACAAGAAAGATATCAGCTGTTGCCAAAAGAAGGAAAGAGGGAATGAAAGTAAGAATGGAAGTGGGTGATGTAGGAAGGAAGGAAGGAAGGAAGGAAGGAAGGAAGGAAGGAAGGAAGGAAGGAAAAGAGGAGGAAGGAAGTAGGTTTTGTGAAAAGAAAGAAAAAGGAATGAAAGTAAGATCGGCTGTGGGTGATGTAAGAAAGAAAGAAAGAAAGAAAGAAAGAAAGAAAGAAAGAAAGAAAGAAAGAAAGCAGATGTTGCCAAAAGAAGGAAAGAAGGAATGAAAGTAAGAATGGAAGTGGGTGATGTAGAAAGAAAGAAAGAAAGGAAGGAAGGAAGGAAGGAAGGAAGGAAGGAAGGAAGGAAGGAAGGTTTTGTAAAAAGTGGGAAAGAGGAATGAAAGTAAGATCGGAAGTGGGTGATGTAGAAAGAAAGAAAGAAAGAAAGAAAGAAAGAAAGAAAGAAAGAAAGAAAAGAAATAAAGAAAGAAAGTATAAAGGAAACAGTTGTTGGCAAAAGAAGGAAAGAGTGAATGAAAGGAAGATTGAAAGTAGGGGCTGTAGAAAGAGAAGCAAAAAGAAAGAATAAATAAATAAATAAACAGAGTTGGTATAGTAAAAAAAGAAAAAAAATAACGAATGAAAATAAGACTGTAAGTATCATTTTCCACAAAGTGTGAAAGAAAGACGGAAAGATATAATGAATGAAAAAAGAAAAAAAAAGGAAGATAGAAAGGAAGAAAGTGTGTGCTGCAAAAAGAAAGAAAGCGTGAATTAAAGTAACAATGAAACTGGGTATTTCACAAAGAGAGAAGATAGAAAGCAGAAATAATGTGTTACAAAAAAGGAAAGAGTGAAGGAAAGTAAAAATTGAAGAAGGGTGTTAGAGAATAAAAGATAGTAAGAAAGAAAGAAAGAAAGAAAGAAAGAAAGAAAGAAAGTAGATGTTTCAAAAAGAAAGAAAGAGCGAATGAATGTAGGCATTGGAATGAATTCTGTACAAAGAAAGAAGAAACGAAAAAACACGAAAGAAAGAAAGAAAGAAAGAAAGAATGTGTGTGTTGCAAAAAGAAATAAAGAAAGAAGTGACGCTCGAAAGGCAGAAGGAAAGAGCGAATGAAAGAAAGCAAACAGAAAGCGAAAGGAAGAAAAAGTGTGCTGCAAAAAAGAAAGAAAGGTCGAATGAAATGAAAGGAGATATGGACAGTGTGAATTTGTGTTGAAAACAGAGACTGAAAAGAAAATCATAGAGGAAGGCAAAGAATAGCGAGAGAAAGAGAAAAAGAAAGAGAAAGAGTGAAGGAAATATTTAGAGAGAGAAGAGCAACATGTGAAAGAGAAGAAAAGAAAGTGTAAAAAAGGAAGACATTTTCGGAGCGTTAGTGAACTTAAGAGAGAGAAGATTGAAGAAACAATCCTCATTGAGAGAGAGCACTCTGGAGAGAGAGAGAAAGAGAGGGAAGGAGGGAGAGAGAGAAGGGAGAAAGAGAGAGAGAGGAAGGGAAAGAGAAAGAGAAGAGAGAGGGGGAGAGGGAGAGAAAGGAGAGGGGAGGAAGAGAGAGAGTGAGGAAGAGACAGGGGTGCATGGAGGAGAGAAAGAGAGAGGGGAGAAAAATAAAAATCGTGGATGGAGAGAGAGAGAGAAGAGAGAGGAGGAGGAGGAAGAGAGAGGGAGGAGATAGGGAGAGACGAGAGGGGGGGATCATTATGGGAGAGAGAGAAAGGGGGGATGGAGAAAAGAAAAAGAGGGATGGAGAAAATAATAAGGGATGGAGAGAGAGAGAGAGAGAGAGAGAGAGAGAGGGAAAAGAGAAAGAGAAGAGAGATGGGAGAGAGATAGGGAGAGAAAGCGAGAGGGGAGGAAGAGACAGAGTGCGGAGGCAGAGAGACAGGGGATCATTATGGAGAGAGAGAAAGAGAGGGGAGGGAGAAAAATAAAAAGTGTGGATGGAGAGAGATAAGGGATAGAGAGAGAAAGAGAGAGAGAGAGGAGGGAAAAGAGAAAGAGAAGAGAGATGGGGAGAGAGATAGGGAGAGAAAGCGAGAGGGGAGGAAGAGACAGAGTGCGGAGGCAGAGAGACAGGGGATCATTATGGAGAGAGAGAAAGATAGAGGGGAGGGAGAAAGCGAGAGAAAGAGAGGGAGAGAAAGCAAGAGTGGAGGGAGGGAGAGAGCGAAAGAACGGGGGCAAAGTGAGGAATCATTATGGAGAGAGAGAGAAAGAGAGAGGGGGGGAGAAAAAGAAAAAGAGTTGTTGGAGAGAGAGAGGAAAGGGAGGGAGAGAGGGTGGGAGGCATAGAAAGCGAGAGGAGAGAACGGGAGAGAGGAATCATGGAGAGAGGGGATGGAAATTGAGAAAAAGTGTGAGGCGAGAGAGAGAGAGAAAGACAGAAGAGAGAGAGAATGAAGAGCGAGGGAGAGAGACAAAGTGGGCAGGGCCGGAAGAGAGAGAGAGAGAGAGAGAGAGAGAGAGAAAGAGATAGCAGAGGGCGAGGGAGAGAGTTTGAGGAGGGAGAGAAATTGGATAGAACAGAGAAATTAGAAGGAGGAAAAGTAAGAGAAATCGTTTGTAATCAAGAGGGGGGGATATAAACTGCGAAAAACAAATATCGCTTCAGATTAGAAAAGAAAAGAAAAACATTAAAAGTTAGTACGTCAGATCGAAAAGGAATGATAGACAGAGAAAGAGGTCCCTCTAATAGAGAAACACAAAAACTTATAAAGAAATGGGTTACCTAATCTACAGGAAACCTACAAAAAAGCAATCCCTCAACAATTAGAACAAAAAAATATTAAAAGATAAATCGAACAGTTGAAAAGTAACAAATAAATAAGTGTATATTTGATACGATCCACACAGGACGATCCACTGAGGTATCGCAGATTTTGCAAGCAAAAATATCATCAATAACATCATTGCTGTAAATATAAATAAAACATTTTTTTGTTATAAATCCCACGAGAAAATCTGGTAATTAGCATCACCTATTAAAATACAGCAAAAGAAATATTCATCGTTAAACTCCTGACTTTAGACCTTTCGTATCGATTTATAACCGTTGAATTTTACACAGATCATAATTATAAATTATTGAATGTTGTCAGGGATGAGAAACACGGCCATGAAGGGCAAAACTGGTTCAAAGAAAGATACGACGACGGAAAAAAAATCTTAAAGACAAATTTGAAAATATAAGAATACTTTTTGGAAATATAAAGAAAAGGAAAATCTAATAAAGCGAAGAAGAAAAAAAGCAGACGAAGAAAATCAAAGAGAGGGAAAAGAAAATGGAAGAAATTCGAAGGAAGAAAACTGAAAAATATTCAAAGAAAAACTGTAAGAAATCCAAAGGAAAAAAAAAAAGAAAGAGGCTACAAGTATTTAAAAAAAAAAAAAAAAAAGATGGAAAGAAATTCAGGAAAAAAAAAATAAAAACACGGAAGAAATTCGAAAGAAATCCAAATGCAAAATTGAAAGTAATTTGAAGAAAAGAGAAATAGAAAAATATCGAAATGAAGGATAAATTAATTTAATAAATAAATGAATGAGGGAAATAATTGAATGAAAAATGGAGGAAAGAAATGGTTGGACGATAAAAGAAAGATAAGGAAAAAAGAAATATGAATGAAGAAATGGACGTTAGGGTCTATAACGAACCCAACTGGAATTGGAACTTGGTGCCTCGATTAACAATTCTGAGCCATTATACCATCAGCATATCGAAGCTTACAGCACCTGGTATTTCCAAATGGTCACCCATCCAGGTAATGACCAGACTCGACGTTACCTTACCGGTGTTTCATCGAGATATCGTCGTGTACCAAAGAATGGGAAATAAGGCTTGAGAAAATGATGGTCGGAGAGAAGGATTAGCAGAAGGATAGACGAAAGGATATAAAATAAACGGAAGGAAGTTTGGAAGAAAGGACATTGGGAAGGAAGAAAAAAGTCAGGAAGTAGAATGGGGTGGGGATATCTTAGAAAGAAAGAAAGAAAGAAAGAAAGAAAGAAAGAAAGAAAGAAAGAATATGAGAAATATGCGTGGAATGAAAAAGATGAGAAGGCAGGATTAGTAGAAAATATGAATGAGGTTGATTATAAAACGAAAGAAAGAATGAAAGAGAGTAGGAGGAAGGAATGAAGGGGAGGAAGAGGAAGGAATAAAGAAGAGTAAGGAGAAAATGACAGAGAGTAGGAGGAAGGAATGAAGGCGAGTAGAAAGCAAGAATGAAAATGAGTAAGGGGAAGGAATGAAGGAGATTAGGAGAAAATAATAGAGAGTAGGAGGAGAAAATAATAGAGAGTAGGAGGAGGAAAGGATGAAGGAGTGTAGGAGGAATGAAGGCAGGAAGTGGCTAGTAGAATGAAGGAAAGGAAGATGAGTAGAAAGGAAGTAAGGAAGGAAGGAAGGATGAAAGAAAGGAAGGAAGGAAGGAAGGAAAGGGGAAAGCAGGCAGGAAGAAAGGAAGGAAGGAAAGATGTGTGAAAATTAAATAATATGAAACAAAGAAATGTGAGCAGGAAGGAAGGAAGGAATGAAGGAAGGAAGGAAGGAAGGAAAGCAGACAGGCAGGTAGGAAGGAAGGAAATAAGGAAATAAGGAAGGAAGAAAGAAAGAAGGAAAGCAGGCAGCTAGGAAGGAAGGAAGCAAGAAAGGAAGGAAGGAAATAAGGAAGAAAGGAAGAAAGAAGGAAGGAAAGCAAGCAGGTAAGAAATAAGGAAGGAAGGAAGTATGCGTGGAATAACCAAAAATAATGAGTTGATAAGGAAGGAAGGAAGTGGCGCGGAAGAAAGCAAGGATACAAAAGAGGAATGAGTTATTAAATAGGTAAGAAAGCGTGAAAAGCTGGAATGATTGACTACAATGAAGAGGAAAGGAAAGACCGTAGAAGGAAGGAAAGGGGAATAAAAGAAAGGAAGGATTGTGACAGAATATTACAGATTAAAAGCGAAAATGAAGGAAAGACATTTTTAATGTAATGCTTGATTATAATTAGGAAGGAAGAAAGGAAGAATGGGAAGGAAGCATGACGGGTAATAAACAAGTATAACGGATAAAATAAACTAGGAAAGAAGAAGAAAATTATCGAATAGAACGGAAAGGAAAGGCATAATAATAATTAAAAATCAAAGAAAAACGGGAAAAAAAATTGAGGGTAACAAAAGAAAGAAAAAATATTGAAATTTCCAAACTAAAAAAGATTGAATATTAAACAGAGACTGGATAAAAGAAAATTATTTAGACAAAGTGAGAAAAGTGGAAGGAAAGATAGAAAGAATTAATGAATTGATTGGAAAATAAAAAGATAAGCCGAAAAAAACAGATAAAATGAAACGAACTGGGAGAACTGAAAATACAAAATGAATATAAAATGTCGTCAAACGTAAAAAGAAATAATATGAAACAAATAAATCTAGAATCTCCAATGGAAGCACAACCAATTTCTGAAAGACAGGAAGGTTGGAAGAAAAGAAATTAACATGGAAGAATCAAGTGTTGAGAGCCTTGAGGGAAGGTCCAGTTAATTGTTTGAACTATTTCAACATATAAGCGGTATTTTTTTGAAACTTAAGGTGTGTTGTGAGTGCGTTTGTGAGTAGAAGGTAAAGGACACGTGTACCTAAGCTTAAATGAGAAAAAACAAAACTTTAACATGAAAAACAATGTTTTCAGTGACATTCCCAAAAACAAATTGCAATAAACGAAGGAATTTAAAAAAAGAAAAAGAAATGGAAAACAAAAACTAACTGGAAAATCGTTGGCAAAATTCGAACCAGAATTAGGATCGGACTAATTACAAAAAATTTCGAAGAACCAGGACTCCGCTCGAGAGCTGAGTGCTCGGATGACAAAAACGTGTATACATGAATATATATGGATAATAATAATAATAATAATAATAATAATAATAATAATAATAATAATAATAATAATAATAATGTGTTTGAAGATAAAAAAAAACTATTAAAATATAAGGATCTGGAAATCTGAAAAAAAGTGTCACATGAAGATATCAATAATGCCAGTTGTAGTTGGAGCACTCGGATTGATTGGAAAAGGTTCCGATAGAGACAAGGGATTCCTGGTAGCCCATGCCTTAACGAAATACAAAACATTGTACTCACAAGTACAGCTCACATTTTACAAAGGGCTAAGGCTTTGTTTATGTAAAATGTGAGTGATCGTCTGTTTTTTGTTGTTTTATTTTTTTTCAACTTTTTATTTTTATTTTCTTACAAAAATGGAAAATGTCATGAAGCTATTTCTGACCTTAGGTCTCTGATATGGACCCGGAAGTAAATGACAGAAATCAAAGGAAAGTTGTTTTTTTTTTTTAAATTGTGGGAGTATTTTGTATGTTAAATAATACGACTTTTAATTTTTCCCAAAAAGTGAATGAAAATTTATTGTACTAAGCAATGCACACAAGTAAAACCAACTGTACTTTGTATCTCTTTACGTTTTTGCACTTTTGATCGCTCAATGGATGCCTATGTCAGAGGGTGTGACGTACAGATTAACGAAATCACAGAATTTTATATATAGATCATATTTTATAGTTGTAAGCAATTTTGAAACATAACTTGAAGACAGATATATTGTCGAAATATTATTAAACATTGTTAAACACTATCTTTGTTTGAGTTACGTCAATCATTTTATTTACATTATTTACATTATTCGGACTGTTATCCTCATCTTTATTGCCATAATGCTTCGGTAGTTGTACGCTCCTGCCTTCTTCAGGTGATTGGAATTTCGAATCAAACCCTTTATTTCATCCACCGGGTTAGATTGTTCTAGATCCACGTGCCATGCCTCTTCCAAATGTCTCAGTTATTGCTCTTTAACTTAACTCTCCAAGTTTGGTTCACAACTGCTGTGACCTGGTATTGAACTCTTTGGGTCTGGTCACTGGATCTAACCAACGTCTTTATCCGTGTCCTTATCCAGTGCTCATATTGCATTTTTTTTTTATATATTATTATTGCATTTTTTACCAGAGCTTATATTGTAATTTTGTTTTTATTAATTGCTTTTCTCTTAGTACTCCTTATTACTGGTTCCCATATTGTATTCATTTCTATGTTTGGGCGACTCAGGAGATTATTGTGGCTTAGGCTATATGCTGATTCCTTAAAGTTCCTGAAGACGAGGATAACAGTCCGAATAATGTAAATAAAGCAAATAATCATAATACTTCATCTAAGAGATATAGACAGATGCCAATCATTTTGTTTGTTAATAATAATAATAATATTATTATTATTATCATTATTATGCTAATATTATTATTATCTTATTTTCTTTGATTTCTGGTGTGTACACATTTCTTTCTCGGTCCCGCACAAAGAGCTAAGGTTAGAAATGGCATAATGACACTTTCCACTGACAAAACACACACACACACACACACACACACACACATTTTACATAGATAAAGACTTAAATAATCATAATACCTCATCTCAGAGATATAGGCAGATGTCAATCATTTTGTTTGTTAGTAATAATAATAATAATAATAATGACATTTTACACTGAAATAAAAAAAAAACACAAACATGTTTTACACTGATAAAGCCCTTCTAAGTTTTTTTTTTATTATTATTATTATTACTATTATTATTATTATTATCATCATCATCATTCGATTTATTGGACACACTACCTACCAAGTGCGGAAAGTTAGGTCGTGGTGTGTTGTACATTTCATTTTTTTTTTTTTTTTTTTTTTTTTTATCTCCGATGAAGTTGCTAGCGTTACATAGACAAAGTTCTCCTTAGTGTGTGTGCTGTACTTAATAAAAATTTTCTGTATGTCTCTTAAGCTGGGGTTTCCAGGGATTCTTTCAATGTGTTGTTTTGTTCCATTTTTATAATTCCAAACCTATTACCACTGGTATTATTCTTGTTTTCAATTTCCATTTTTTTTCTATTTCAATTTCCAGGTCTTTGTATTTTGATAGTTTTTCAAATTCTTTTGTTGCTATGTTACAATCCGCTGGACAAGCCATATCAATTAGTAGGCAAGTTTTTTCTTTCTGGTTTTGACAATGATGTCCGGCCTATTTATTTCAATTTTTTCTGTCTGTGTGGATGGAATAATCCCATAGAATGGTGACATCTTCTATTTCTGTAACCTGGCCGATGTTCATATTTCAGTGTTTGCTTACACACATTTTCCAAAGTGTTTGCACATTGTCCAGTGTAACTATCGTGACGATTTTTATATTCATTTGGGGCAAGTATAGAAATCCTGAGATTAGATGGTTATTGTTTCTTGGTATTTGTCACAGAACCTGCATTTTGGATCCATGATATTTTTTAGTGAAAAGTTGCGCTGCAAGAATAAAGCCTTCAGTTTCAGACTTTAATCCAGATTTAAAACTTTATCAAATTGGGTTTATTTGCACGTTCTGGATATTGGCCATGCAGAGGTTTGTCTTGCCAGCGTTGTTTCATCTGTCGGGCTTTATCCTTGGCTTTCTTTTTTTATCTTTTTGCAAAGTTGGTTCTTGGCTTCTGTTTTGATTTAAACAGAATCTACTAAATGTAAATTTGTTTGTATTTACTGCCTTCTTTTATTATTGAAATTTTTTCTTTCTGTTTTCATGTTGTTTTAATTTTATCATCCAGTCATTTGTTGTTTCCATTATTAGTAAGACAATAGTTGTTGTCTTGTATGACAATTCTAGCTGAATAAGACCTCTTCCACCTTCTTTCGGGTTTATTGCTACATCAGCCTTTGGATGATGTTATACTTAGAAAGAAGTTGTTTTAGAATCCATTTGTCTGATGTCATTTAGAGTCCAGTTCAAGATGTTGAAACTATATTGGACCACTGGGATGGCAAGGTTATTAATGGCCATAATTCTGTTCTGAGAATTCAATTCAGACCAGTCGTACCCCTATAGTACTCTTTACGCACTATTTCTTCCATTTTCTTATGGTGAATTCCTTCACTCTCATTTTAGGATTGTTCTAAATCTTTTATTGTTACAGCAGGGTCTAAACTAATAGAGGAAGTTTAGATCCCGTAAAACTGTAGCTTTAGCACATTTATCCAAATTGAATTTCATTCCAATGTCTTCACTGAAGCATTTTACAGTTTGCAGAAGACCTTCCAGCTCATTGTCATTCCTAGCATACAATTTTAAGTCATCCATGTAAAATAGATGGTTTATTTTCTTTTGAGCTATTTTGTAACCGCATTCTGTCTTGTTAAGTGGTTAATGCTATAAGTGATATCAAAATAATAAAGGAGACAAAGAGTCACCTTTGAAATATTCCTCTATTGATGTTTATTTCGCCAGACTTATAGGTTCCATTTTTATGATTTGTGTTTTCCATATCGACATACATTGTTTGATGAAATTGATGATAACGGGTGATACCTTGTACATACTTTAAAGACTTTAAGATCCAGGAATGTGGTACACTATCGAATGCTTTACGATAATCTAAGGCAATACTAAGATTTCTTTTTCCACGGAAGCAGTTTTCCAGGATCATCCTATTAATAAGTAATTGGTCTTTACATCCGTAGCAGCCTCGTTTGCACCCTTTTTGTTCAAGTGGTAGTATGTCATTTCTTTCCAAGAAGAAATATGTCTGTTTTGTTAAAATAGATGTTAACAGTTTGTATGTTGTTGGAAGACATAATTGGTCTATAGTTTTTCGGAATATTTGTGTCACTATTTTTGGGTAGAAGAAAGGTAACTCCTTTTGGTCATCCATGCAGGAATTTTAGTTGGATCGGTAACCATTTCTTGAAGTTCTTTGGCGAGTTTTTTTTTGTGCTTTTTAAATAATATAGCCAGAAGTTAGGAATTTTATCTATTCCTGGAGATTTCCAGTTGTGTGCTTTTTCAGTGCACATTTAACATCTTCTTCTGTGATTCCCGCCCATGTCTGTTCTGGTTTATTTTTCATTCGTTCTAATGTTTGGCAATCCAATCTGCCTCTTCGTTTCTTTAGGCAAGATTATTTTTCCCCAGAACTGTATAACTTCTTCCATTTTAGGGGGACTGTCATCAATTCTTTGTTTACCTATTTCCCCTGTAAAATTTCTTTGCATCGGTTTGAAAGATCTTGTTCTGTCTATAGA